TGTGTTAAGCTTATGTGAGAAACAACAACAACAACAACAGTGCTTACAACTGTCTCTGGAAGTGAAAGCACCAGAAAGTAAATGAAGTCATGTACAGCTGTCATCCGTACGCAAGGAGGTAAGCACAAGATGCCGACCACACCTGGCAGGATGCAGCGCACCCTTCATGCGACTCGCTGAATATCTCACGGCGCTTCGCGCTTGGTGATGTGAGAGCCTAGTCCAGTCAGAACCCGGCGTGCTCCGTCCCGGCTTTGNAAGGAGGTAAGCACAAGATGCCGACCACACTTAGCAGGATGCAGCGCACCCTTCATGCGACTCGCTGAATATCTCACGGCGCTTCGCGCTTGGTGATGTGAGAGCCTAGTCCGGTGAACACGCGGCGTGCTCCGTCCCGGCTTTGTAGGGATGCGAGGTCAATGGTCTTACGACTACGGCATGCACGGCCATGAGTACCCCCCCCGTCCACCTCTGTAGTTTTATTGAAGTGGGATAACTTGAAGGCCGAGATTTACATCAGTATTCTCCTTTCCCCCTTCATCTCATCATCCCCCCCCCCGCCCCCCGCACCGGCTAACGCGGTGTTCTGCATCTCCTCCACCCCTTCTGGCGGGGGTTGTATTTGCTTTAGCGCGAAACGTGAGGTGGGGGCCTTGGTGTGTGTCGCTCCGTGTCCGGCGGAATAGCGTAGTGTATTGTGCCGCGTTGGCTTGGGCGTCGTTCGGTGTATGTAACTGTTCACGATGATTGGGTCGCTCACGCTCTCTATTGTCGTGGGGGTTTCCCATTGCAAGCAGGGGACATCGACCTGGACGGGGACGGGGAGATATCCTTCGACGAGTTTCGACAGATGATGGAGGAAGACCAAGCTACGACGACGACAACGACTTCCAAGAAACCTGTTGCTTCCGCCGCCCCCGCCGCGGGCCCTACAACGGCTGCACTCACAGGGGCGTGAGCGTATGCACTACTACTACTGAGTTGTAGACGGAATTTGGCAAAGGAAAGAAGGAGAGTGCCGCAGCTGCTGCTGCTGCTGCGGCGGCGGCGGCGGCGGCGGCGGCGGTGGCTGCGTGCTGTGCATGCAGGCAGACAGGTGTAGATACTGACGGTGACCGGGCAATACCCATGCGTACCAGCCTTGTATCGCCGGCTGCGATTCTGTTCTTGCTGGACTGGTACACCTGCTTTTCTCTCGCTTATCACTAGCCACCACCAGTCTTATGATTGTACAATAGAGGTCCCTATTTAGTGCCGGGGTGGCGCCGAAAATTCACCGGCACTAAACGGACACCGGCACTATTCGAAGTACAGAACGACTTGGTATTTCAGTGTGTGCGAGCCGAAAACACCGGCACTATTCAAACGACACTAAACAGGGACCTCTACTGTACCTGTTTACTCGCTGTGTCGGTGGCGTCTCTCTTTTTTGCTCGTCGGCGTGGTGTCTGGATGGTACATACATGCATCTCTCTTTTGTGTTCGCTTTTTGGAATAGTTGCGTGGGCTTCTTTCTGTCAATAGATGCAGCAGCAGCAGCAGCAGCAGCAGCAGCAGTGGATGCGTGGATGGCGTCTGGGGGGCGGGAATTAGCCCGAAACTTGCATCTCTGGAAAAGTTAGATGCGTATAGCTTGGACACAAAACGTTTCGAGGACCCTACCTACACAGACGACAAACGGTCCACTGGTAGACTAGCTAGCTTAGTTGGTGTACATCCCGCGAAGAAGAGAGTCGCCCAGGAACAATCACTGCCCGCAGTGTGTCTTCGGTTGTCGTGTGGTCGTGTGTGCGCACATGCATGCGAGAGGAGGACCTTGAGGGCCCGCAGTTTTGGGACAAAGATGAGGGCGGAGTACATTTTGAGTGCCCGCGGTTTTCCCATGGGTCAGCATCGGTGAAGTTCTGATTGGCCGAAATGTGACGGTGTGCTTGTAAATAGCGTCATGATAGAGTAAAGCCGAGAACAAAGGGCGGATGTTTGTTTTTTGTCGCATTTGGTGGCAAAGTTGGAAAAGTAGCTCGTGTCGACGTCTGGCAGTTAGCTAGCTAGACCCTCCTCGATCAAAGGATATAGACGACGGACGTCTTCGTCGATAACGCAATCAATCATACGTATTCAAGGTATGCGTGTTTCGGTTATCATGAGTAAATTTTGGAGTGTAGGCGGGCCCCGTCCCAGCCGCGAGATTAGTCTTGCTCCCTCCGTTTGTTTGAGAGGGGTGCTAGCTGGGGTGTCCTGTGTCACGTTCCGCTTGGGCGCAGGGAGGGTCCTTTCCCGCTGCCGTTATCAAGGAGACCAAAGAAATGCACCAGTAGTCTTCTACATGGATGTATGTAGTCTACATACGAAACGACCAAAAAGCGAGCTGGTGTGGAGACCACCTTCTTCATAAAGGCACTGCTGTACAGTATCTCCCCAACGCCTGTCGAGGACGGTTCCTTCCTTCTTTTCACAAGATTTCATATTGAGCCTCGGAGAAAATCGAAAATTAAGAACTGGAGCACCATTGGTGAGCTCGGCTCAGAACCCCTTGCACTAAAAACCTATTTGGCGACCATTCGTAGCATGACTCTAGGAACCAAGAAACCCAGCCTCGGCCGAAACTGAAATAATAGAGGTTCTTAAGGGGTAGCGCGGTCTGAATAGGTAGGGTGGGTTGTGTTCTCGAACCGTCTGTTTAGGCGCCAGTCTACATTTCGGCGTCCATGTCTCGACGCATCAACCGTGGGTCGGAAGGTCAAACAGTCAGGAGCTTGTGTCGTTTCAGTTGCACAGCATTTGTAGATCGAGATCGGCATTACCTGGGGCCGGGTCGGGCAAGGGGTGGGGGATACGAATGAAAGTTCCGCGCGTGGATATATTGCAATAGTTTTGAGACGGTGAAGCTAAAGCTCCATAATTATTTTTTTGTCACACCTGTGTCCTCCTTCCTGCGGTGCTTGCCTTGCCTGCATTTTTTTATCGCCTCAACAAATGTTCTCGCCTTTCCCTTGTCAACCGCCAAGCAAGCCAGCAGTATACCAGTGCGCACCTCGTGAATTATTCGTTTCCCCCGCAAACTGCAAAGAATAAGCCCCTTCAATCCAGACAGATTTGTAATGATCGAACTCCAACCCCTGCTACTACTTGCTAGGTTTGCGAGGTCACAACAGTCATCACGCCGGAGAGGCCGGCCTCGACGAAAAAGTTATTGTGGTCATTTGCTACACCGCCGCCGTACCCACGTGGACGGTCGCTGCGAAGCTAACTAACTCTCTTCCCCCATTATTTTCCTCGGGGGGCACGAGAGGCCGTTACACAATTGGGTACAAAAGCACTATCCAGGGAAGGAATCAACCTGACGATTCCATCTGATCTGCCACGCGATCTCACCACCACAAGTTACTGTAAGCGGAGGCTCCGCAAACCGATTCCACTGCCCCCCCCCCCCCCCCCCCCCCCCCCCCCCCCCCCCCCCCCCCCCCCCCCCCCCCC